TTGACGACGAGAACTGCAACGGGGAGATGCGACACGTCGAAGGAAAAACAAAGAAAGAAAAAGACGCGTCAATGAGGTTGAAGGAGATACGAAATAGAAAGAAAGAAACGTACATTAGTGGTATATGAGAAGAGAGAGGCTGAATCAACCTGACGAGCAGGGAAGGCAAGAGAGCGAGAGAGAAAGAGATAGGGCGAGAATAAGCTCTGGGCTCCGCGCCTTCTTATCCTTACGAGGATGCGGACAAACAAGGCTAAACTGTTTTTGGGCTGAGCACGTTAAACGAGCCCGATTAGGCGACGCCTCGGCTTGTGCTGAAACCACTTGCGCTGAGTCATACATCGTCCTCAGCTGCACACCCAGCCCGAGCCTTGCAACATATGCAGGTCCTAGGACGAGCGTGTTGATTCAATGGCTGCGCGTGTAGCGAGCTGAGACTCTGCAGCGGATTCTGCAGCTGGGACATGGCTCTCAGGAGATAAAATTTGCGTGTGGGAAAATGTTGTGTTCACAAGGTGACGGGGAGATCGAAGCTGGACGCCCGCGCCATGCCCGCCCTCCCTGTACGTAACCTACGGTAAATCCCTAGCTCGTCGTCGTCGTCGTCGTCGTCGTCTGCGCACTGGGCATGCTTGCTGGCGACCCTGCGTCCGCACGCTGCGCTCGGTGGCAGGGAGAGGGGCGGGGGCGGACCCGTGGGCGGGAGGTCTGGTCTGGAGGGAACTGGCTTGGCGTCTGGATGCCGAAGCGAGTTCGCTTATGGCGCTTCCGTCTCTGTTCCGGGCAGGCGGCGACGCGACCGCCGCATCGAGACTTGCGCCGCCGACGTGTTTCACCTCCCGCCTCCGCTTTCTCACGCCCCCGCTCGCCCTACGCTCATATACACCATGGCATCCTCCCCTCACCGCACTGTCGTCATTCTGTCCCCGCAGGCTCCACTTGCAGCGCGATGTCCACGCTCCGTCCTTGTATAAGGTGCTCCCTGCCTGTGCTCCCCTTCCACTCGTTTCTCTTCTGCGTAACCTAGTCGAAGATGCTTGCTGCTCTCACGTCGCTGCTGCTGTTGGCTGCATTCATTCTGTTGCTCCTAGTCTCTCTTTCTGTGCCCATCATCAAGTCCATCTTCCTCTTTCATCTCACCGCCCATCCCGCCTCCTCCGTCTCCGGGGTCAGTCCAAGTGGCAATGCATGGTTTGGCGTGTGGGGGTACTGCGTCTCTCCCGTCGACGTCTCGTGAGCACTCCAATTCATTAGTCCGTCTATATCTGCTCATGGCGATCTTCGCGTCGTGCCCGTGTGACCAGTATCCTCGGCACTAATATCGGCACCACGGCGCAGTGTTCCAGTCCCCAGCTGGGCTACGACCTCAACAACTCCATCCTTAGTGCCCTTCAGGTCTCTGGTATCAACCTCAGCAGCGGCACCATCTCCCGGGCCGTCACTGCTCTTTTGGTCCTACACCCCATCGGTGCGTCTCTGCACCGCTGACGTCGTCCCTCTCTGATCCGACTCTCTTCATCGTCTCAGCTTGCGGACTGGCCTTCCTCACCTGGGTTATCTCTCTCTTCATGATCCGCCGGCGGCCCGATGGTGGCATATCTCGCAGCGCCTCTATTTGCACACTCACAATTGGCTTTCTCTCCATGCTTGTTACCACTGTCGCGTTTCTCGCGGATGTGATCTTCGTCGCCGTTGTCCGCGACCGAGTGCAGAATGAGTCCAACGGCATCCTGACCCTCACCTGGGGCAATGCGGTGCGTGTCATCCTGTCTCCGAAATGCGATATAAGCGCCATGATCGACTGATGGCCGGTACCGCTTCGTGATTGCGTTCATACAGGTATGGATAGCGCTGGGAGCAACCATCGCGCTCTGGCTGGCACTCGCCGGAGCTTGCGCGGGCGTTTGTGGTTGCGGGCGACAGTATCAGTGCGTTCCATCGGTCACAGTACCATGTCCACATCCGTCATGTTGATTGTTCTCTGCCTGTTCTTGTTTCACAGGAAGGTAAACACGTATTAGGGCACTTTTATGGCGCGACGGCCACCCATCATAGTTCACGTCTCACACTCACATGGCGCAAGCTCACCTTAAAAAGATAGAAGTGTGTCATCGGCGCTCAGCGCCGGGTGTCTCACCCCGTCTTCTTTGATTCGAGTGGGTTGTATATGTATAAGCTATCGCGCACCGGCTCCGGATACCATCTAACCATCATACCATACCCTACGTACTGCTGTATCTAGATTTCGCATGCATTGATAAAACGTGGGTGTATCTTTGCTGCTATGAAATACATTATAAATTCGAATGGTCTGATCGGTGTTCTTCTCCGCGTGCGACTGAAGGTTCTCATGACGAGGCTAGCAGACATTCTCATGCGGCCGGACAAATGATTTCTGCATAGTGCAGCACACGAGATCCAATTGCTCCAAAGTCCATGCATCTCGAACGCCAGAAATGAAAGACTATCGACGTTGGCAGACATCACTTGTGCCCACAATCGGGCGCACGATACGACCGTATGCTGATAGTTTATGCAGCCATTTCGGCAGCCATGGGAGCAGACTCGACGGGCTTTGAACGATGAGGTCCGTGTGATCGTTTCCCTTTCCTTCTCTTCGGCTGAGTCGCTAGATGGATTGAACAGAACGGTGTAAGAACGAGGAGACCGTCAGGCTTACCCGAAGACGCACCTTCCATGTACTTTTTGTCCTCCTCACTGTCGAACGCAAGATCCTCCGCAGCGATCGGCTCGCCGTCCACGCCAATTGCCACGGGCTCATCCTCGTCACGTGGCTTCTGTTTTATGCGCTTCTCGACCTTGAATTTGGCGACGTAGAACCCGTCCATGTTGTGCACGTGTGGGTAGAACCGCCGCGTCAGGCTGACCTTCTCGTTGAACACCTTGCCGCGATACTTGGTATACCCCGGGCGGCCAAACTCCAGGCCCGTGTCGACGAGTTTTACGTTCGGCCGCTTGCGGAGCGCATAATCGACGACCGCTTCGTTTTCATCGACGGTGACCGAACACGTGGAGTAGACGAGATACCCGCCCGTCTTGGAATCTGGCGTCACGCTGTCGATAGCGCAGAGGATAAGCTGCTTCTGAAGGTGCGATAAAAGGGCAAAGTCGCGCTCGGACTGTCAAGAAGACCATGTCAGTGCGTCCTTCACAATCCAGTGTGTTGTAAAAATGTACTTTATTCGTTTTGACGCTGGCATCCTTACTGATAACACCCGTGCCGCTGCATGGCGCATCCAGAAGCACCCGGTCAAAACCGCCCATCACCTTGGGAAATTCACGGCCGTCATAAGAGCACACGACCACATTCTTACATCCCAATCGGTGCACATTGGCTGTGAGGCTCTTCGTTCGTGCCTTTTTCGCATCGTTTGCAAATACCACACCCGTGTTTTCCATGAGCGCAGCCATGTGCGTTGTCTTTCCACCGGGGGCAGATGCCATGTCCAGAACGCGCTCATTGGGCTGCGGCGCTAGCGCGATAACGGGAAGAAATGACGACGCGGCCTGTAGCATATATTGGCCTGCAAGGTACTCCGGCGTCGCTCCAATCGGGACACTGCTCTCGAATACCTGTAGGCCAACATTTGTCCACTTCCCGATAGGCTCAAGGTTGACGCCTCTGTTGATGAGCGCCTGGGCAAGATCTCTTCGGCGTGTGCGGAGGGTGTTTGTCCGGATCGTTACAGGCCGAGGGACCTCGTTTGCTTCAAAAAACTCGATGGCCTGTGCATGTCAGTACCATCAGGATATTTCGTTGCCATTAGGCATGAAGTCGGCCTACCTCTGCAACTGGGAATAATTGGAACAACTTCTCCGTAAGGAACTCATTGTATCCATAGTAGCTTGCGATATCCAATATGAGTTGTTGAACATACTCAGATCGTGATCTTCAGTGTATTCATACGAATGAGTATACGAGGCAGATAGATCTCGGAAGAGGACTTGCCGGCCATTCTCAGCTAGTCTTTTGAACTTTCCGAGTGCACGTACACATTCACGCATACGGCGCTGGACAGTATGAACATCCGGACCTCCGCTTGCCTTCTCTTCCTCCCTCTCTTCTGCAGTGGGTAAGTGGAAGGCCTCTTGACCATCATCGCCGTCGCCGTCCATGTCTTCGTCGTCATCTGCATCTGCCAAGTCGCCATCCTCTTCGCCCACCAAAGCAGCATTCTGCATCTCCTCGGCGTCCAGCTCCGCCTCACGCGCTGCCTTTTCGTCTAAAGCCCTAGACCGCGCCTCCATATTTGCCATCGTGATCCGCCCGTCCTCGTCCTCTGAATCCTCATCTGAGTTAGAAGAATCATCCGAGCCTGTCGGGATGATTTTCAGAGGTCGTTCATGCTGTTTTGATTTCTTTCCTTTCGTTTTTGAAGGTGCAAGCTCGATCTCTTCCTCGTCGCCAGAACCAAGATCAAGCTCTTGGACAGGCCCTTGTAGGAAATCATCATCCCTAGCGGGTTTGTCAAAATTACACAGAGCAAATCAGTAATATATTTAGACGTACTCGATATCCAGACCGTCAGCACCCAAGTCATCTAAATCGCCAATGAATTCCTCAGTCTCTTTTTCCTTCTGCGTGGGTTTGCTACGCCTCTTGGATACACTCCCATCACTCTCGCGAGCTTTCTTTGTAGGTCTCTTTTCCTTGACCTCGGGATCCTGGGCTTTGCGCTTGCCTAGTTTTTTGAGAGACGGTTTTTCGGTCAGATTATGGAAATTCTCCAAGGGTTCAGGAGGGCCCTGCTTATTCTTCGCACGGCGACCCATAGTTATTCTCGAGCAGAAGTAGGAATGGCCAGAGACAGATTCAGAACCGCAAACTCAGCGGATCGAAAGGCGGTCACAAAAATTCGCGAGATCCGTGACCGCTCAGTGCATGTCACATGTGACGACGCGTATCGTGACGTCATTCTTGATCGACTTCAAGCAAGTTGTGTTCGTCGTTCGACTGCAACAACCCGCCGCTCCCCTCGCTCCTTTTCGACAACTTCGACCTGCAGAGCCATCTATTTGTCTGGCCATACCACATCATAGCAATGCGAGCTATGTTTCTCCCCGGCTTTTCTCGCTACATGGGAGCAGAATTTCGCTCCAGCATCTTCCAGCCGTCTGTTCGACGACAACTATGGTCGCTGCCCACTCGCTCAAATATATCTCTACAACTGAGCACCCTATCCGTTCACAAACCCCTTTCTATGAGCGTTATGAACCTCAGCTCGCGCATCACTTCGCTTCCATTTATATGCAAAGCTGCAGGGGTAACCAGTGTCGGCATTGGGCTCTCGATATACGCGGCACCCAACATCTTCTGTGAACGTACGTGGTTCTTTTTCACACACATGGAATACTCATCATACGTGCACCAGCCGTTGCCGCCAGGACCTCTCCGCCGCCAGTCTCCTCGCCCAGCGGTGCAGCACCCTTGTCATCCCCCGAACCCTTTCCCGAACCACCAACATCCTCCGTCAGTTACCTGGAGCTTTCCTTCGGTACTATAACGGGAATTTGTGCCGGCGTTTTCGTCAAGAAAGGTGCCAAGGCTCTCGCCTTCGTACTTGGTGGCGTATTTGTACTGCTCCAGGTTGGTGAACTGGAATTCTGTGCGGATAATTACTGACCACGATCTGCTAAAGTATCTCGGATCCATGTCTCTGATTCGTGTAGACTGGGCGCGGGCGTCGTCGCGCTTTGAGAGTCTCCTCTATACCAAGGACGCGAGCGGGCAGAAGAGGGCACCTAGTGTCGGCTCCTTGTTCCGGTGGCTTATTGACTTCTTAACAGCCGACTTCCAGCAGAGGGCATCTTTCATCGCAGGATTCGGCTTGGGACTGAGGATAGGTTGATCTGGTGATCATTTTGAATTCTTTGTATCTTACCTCCACAACGTCATTTTGACAAACCTGTGGTTAGGGTTTCAACATGTCCATCTTTCGAGACCCGAGTCCAGAACTGGTCAGTGAGCTGAGAACATTTTCAATCAGAAAATGATGGCAGCGGTTTGAGACATGGGCTCTTGAAGCCAGTTGGAACTTGGAAGCCAGGGTCTAGGATCGAACGCTGCATCATGTGAAACGTTGATCGTTTGAACTCTTTTTTTTCTTGTTGTCACAGCCAAGTCTAATGGTTATTATCAGCCATGATCAGCGGGGTGAATGAGATCGATACGTATTATGACTGCGCGCCTGAATTCCAATTATTGTCGAGGCCTAAGTAGGTCCGGGGAGGTTATCATCTTCTGCTTGCGTTTGAAACGCTCATCGCCATGTCTCCGGTCAACACGATGCGAAAGCAGTCCGAGGTGTTCCTCTCCGCACTACAAGAACAGATCGTCGCTGCATTCTTGGAGCGGGATCCAACCCTCGTTCCCAAGCGCGACTCATGGACGCGCCCACAAGGCGGCGGAGGTGCTTCGTGCGTCTTGGTTGGCCCTGGCCAGGACACGGCAATCGAAAAAGCCGGGGTGAACACTTCCACCATCCATAGCGTCCTAACCCCGACCGCCGCCAAACAAATGGGCGCCACCCACCCGTCGATCCCCCAGAGCCCGCAATCAGATCTTCCGTTGTACACCACCGGGATCAGCATCGTCGTGCATGCCCGCAATCCGCACGCACCCAGCGTGCACATGCACCTGCGCTACGTCGAGGTCATCGAACCCCCTCAGACGGACCGCACAGCAGCAGATGGCGCAGACGAGAAAGTGCTCGCATGGTGGTTCGGCGGCAGCATAGATCTCACCCCCACGTACATATATGAAGAGGACGCCAGACACTTCCACACCACACTAAAAGGCGTATGCGACGCACACGGCGGCTCCGCCCTGTACCGTCCTCTGAAGAACTGGTGCGACGAGTTCTTCTACATCCGCCACCGGCAAGAGGCACGGGGCATTGGCGGCATCTTCTTCCGCGACTTGTCCGACTCAAAACATGCCCGCCTCGACACCGACGATGCTGTCGCCGCACTGCGCCCAAAGACACAGGAGGCCATCTTCGCATTTGTCAAAGATCTGGGCCACGCGTTCTTGCCCTCGTACTTGCCCATCCTGGAACGACGCAAGGGGATGCCGGCTGACAGGCGCGCAGCACGGTGGCAAAGCCTCCGCAGAGGTCGGTATGTCGAATTCTACCTCACCGAGGCGGGCACGCAATACGGCCTGTCAACACCAGGAGTCAGGGTTGAGAGTGTCCTCATGGGGATGCCGGAGATGGCAAGATGGGAGTATACGAGTGAGATGGGCACAGAGGTGGGCACAGAGGAGGAGAGAACAGTCCAAGTGCTGAGGACTCCGAGAGATTGGGTACACATACCTTGAGCGTGTATTATATCGTCGGATCTTGTGGAATACGTATGCTTATGTATAGGGATGTTACTTACTTTAGTAGATGTATGTTACTGGCCATCATGATATTCACAGCTCTCATCAATGGGGCTAAGCCCTGAACCAAAGCCGTTGTCTGCATCCATGACCTGAGGAAGATTTATGATAGTCTCATCAAATGAACATACATACTTCAGAGTCTTTGATACGAAGATCCGAGCCATTATGGACAGAATCGATAATGATATTTGCTGTCCTAGTGGCATCCATCCCTTGACATACAGATTGGGACAAGCGAACATATGGCACGTAATAAGGTGTCCATCTTCAAGAAAGACCGTGTCAAGATAGATAGCAGTATCCGCTGACGCTCATGATGCGCTATCCGTAATCCGTTCAAGTCAACGGGCGACGAACTCCGGCTGCGAGACAGTAGTAGCGTTATTCGGTCGGATAGAACAATGTCCCCCAAATCAAGAATTTAAATGGACCTCTGTACATCGATCGATCCGCTTATGGTGTGGAACCAGCTGGCGGGGAAGGCACCTCCTCGATGGGCACAAACGGATTAGGCAGATGCATCCTGGCTGTAGGCTGGCGACTGAGCCCTGAAGATACCAGATAGGATCGCTGGCTCGCGTTGCTTCCGCTCCTTTGGTGTTGAGAAGGCGACGGCGCTCTAGAATCACCAGGTTCCATGAAGAGTAGACTGGCAGTAATTGAATGTACCGAAGTTGGCGTTCTGGGAACTGCACGGGAAGAGGTGTACATGCTGATGATCTGCTCAGACGTGGAGTACATCGAAGACGCGTCAGAGCGTGAATGACGGTGGGATGCAGGGGTACGAGGTCGCAATTGTGGGGGAACAGCAGATAGAGGAAGCGAATCGGTCGAAATCGACCTCCTATGATCAGCGATTACTGCAAGAGGGGGGCGTTGCAGCTTGGTGACATCCGCAGTGCGGCTGCGTGCACTTTCGCGAGAGCCAAGAGTTGACACAGACGCCATGGAGTCGGGAGTATCTCGTCTCGTAGGGGTGGCGGGAATGGCGACATTCTGGTTCAACAAAAGTGGGCGTGCCCGTCGAGATGGGAATTGAACAAATCGCTCCCGTGACGGGTCTTCCGAGGAATACGAAGGTGCAGGGCTACCTGGCTTGATGAATCCGTCCAAGGAGGACATGCCGTATGGCAGTGTCGGAAGGTCGCTGATACTTCCATGCACGCTGGAGGCATCTCCGACTACGCCATAATCACGGCTAACTGTCACCAGTCGCGCTGGGACAGCTCGAAGTCGTTCTGCATGAGAGACAGGAGAGCGGGAAGTTCGTGACTCGGCCCCTTTCTCGACGTCGTCCTTCACATTGACTGCATATTGTATAAATTCCTCTTCAGGGTCCGCCTCTGGCTCTGGGATGGGAATACCGGACATTACACAAAGGGCGACAGCATGTAATACAACTTGAAGCCACCCTGATCAGTTATGGACATGCGAATGAGGTAGGAAAACAACGCACAAAATACAACAAGACTCCAAACGATAGATAAGGCAAAAATGTAGACGTTCGTGCAGGTCGCAGCTGAATCTACAAATGATGATGGTCACGATCCTCTGAAGAGGGAAACAAGTAGACAATGTGCTCACTGAAGACGACACAGTTGAAGGAGCGCCCTAAAAGTGACAGTGGTAGGGCAACTCCTGTACCAGATTTGGAAAATTGAGTACACAGCGAACGAACTAGAAAATGACCTCGAGATGTACCTAAGTGGAGCCCGAACAAGAAAATTGTCCGCCAAAACTCTGGCCAGAGGTGGAAGATCACAACGACCCTATGCGCCCAACTCGGCTCAGGCAAGTAGCCAATCGCATTCAGGAACCAACTCACATAAGATAGAGCAGCACAGATGAGAATATGTACACTAAGACCATCACAAGGACAATGATCCCTGTTTCAATTTCTTACTTTAAGCGATGTATTGCTGGGAGAAGCGAGACTGACTCACGTTGTACGCTGGGTGCATGCTTCCATTCTCGAGCTAAATACACCGACAAGAAGATTGCCCAGAGAAGACAGACGACGGCAACAACTCCTGCAGCAGATGATAAACAGACAGTATGGTCTCCCGACGTTGAAACTTACCAAAACTAATTCTTCGAACTTTGCGAAAGAAAGACCACCACTCCATAGCAGCAAAGAGAATAAACGAGATAAAAGCGAATGTAAATTATACACCAGGTAAAGAGCGAAAGGCCGCCAGGGGTCCCAAGAAACGAAAGGCCACCAGGGGTTGAAGAAAGAAACCAGGGGCCGACTCAGTCAAGGCCCAACGAAAGTTGAACGAACGAAGGGGGAGGGGTGTCCTGTCCCGAGATGGAGCGTGTAGATATCATTCCTGGTACGCTAATATCCGGATCAGAGACATCCGAGTCAAATGACGCGTCACCAAACCTTGGGAGATTTGATCACAGCTTTGACAGTCGCGTGCACCGCCGCGTTGCTAGGCCTCCGACAGAGGATCTTTAAAGGACAGCGACGACGACGATTGCCAACATCTGGTGGACGTCGATGTGCTGCTCGTGTTGATTGTAAGACCAACTGAACGGTGATGACAAGAGTGAACGCAGAATGGTACTTGTAGGCGGCCGGGTGGCGACTGATGCAGTGAGTGCATGACGGCTTTGCCAAGATGCTTGAGGGAGCTCAAAGAAGGAGGATGAGATATATTTGGCACAGGCCCGGCTCAGTGACACGATGTCACGCATCGCATGTCACACCAGTGGCGCACTGCCCTGCTAATGTCGTCTCAGTGTCGCCGCCCTCTGTCCAGTGTCTGTCCAAACTCAGGTCCTGGTCATGTCGGAACAGGACCCTCTTCTGCCGTCTTACAGCACCGATGAGTCTGCTGAGGCTCAGCCGCGCAAGTACGCGACCTGGAAAGAGCGCACCGCCGACTTCCTCGAGTCCCGACTCCTGCACAAAGCCGTCATCACTCTGGCGTGTATCCTTTCCTCCTGCTGTCAACCCTGGTGTTGACAGCTTTCCGTTGGATAGGTTTTGATTGACTCAGCATGTGTGCTCGCCGATCTCAGCTACACTTTCCTGAACGAAACATGCATGCCCGACGAAGAAACCCAGCCATTATGGCTTACCGTGCTCTCCCACATCTCGCTCGCTATCACGACATTCTTCCTTGTGGAAATACCCATCACCATATGGTCGTTTGGGCCAAGGTTCTACACGCCTGGCTCGCGCATCACACATTCATCACTGCATTTCTTTGATGCCGTGGTGATCATCACCACGTTTGTCTTCGAGGTCGTCCTTCGCGGGCGTGAGAGGGAGCTGGCTTCACTACTAATCATCCTTCGTCTGTGGCGTCTTGTCAAACTGGTACAAGGTGCGAGTCACAGTTGTCGTATCTGTCGCCAGTCGTCGTACAATTGTCATGTGTCAGGTATTGCTGTCAGCGCCGGCGAAATTGAAGAGGAGAATGCGAGACTTCTTGAAGAGACTCGCCAAGAGCTCGAAGGATTGATGGTAGCTCTTGCAGATACCCGGGAGGATAACAAGAAATTGCGTGCTCGGATTAGGCTGCTCGAAAGCGAGCAAGCCTAATGTCATCCTAGTCGAAATGAGATTCACGACGTTCACGACGTGTACCCCTTATCACATTTCCATCACACCCAAGATGTGGAGATAATCTATAATATTTTATAAAGCTATACTTCTACAGTGTCAGACTCGGAATTAAGCTGGTGGATACAAATGGGGAGACACCGCTATGATACATCAGTGTTGACCGTGGCAACATCCAGACATCGTCCTGGTCAATCAGTTCGTTGGTACATACAAAGAGCTTAGAAGCGATTCCATGGAGGAATGGTTTGGACCGGCCTTCGGTTATCGTGCGCGGTAATCCATTCGGAACGATGGGAGGTGTGAATGGGCACATCTGGATCTTGCACGTCCTCAGGGAAAATACCATACGAGAGTGGGCGACTTGGCGAGGGGGTAATAACAGGAAGATTCAACTCGTTCCCAGTATCCGGCACATAATCGCTATTTGCGTCCAATCTTTCGAGGTATCGTGAAGTGTTGGTGTATGCCTTCGGAGGAACTGGGGGCATTGAGTCCGTCGAGGATGCACTCCAATAGGATCGAAGCCTATCTTTGACCGTCGGGACTTTCGGTTTGGCAGCAAATGGTAAGTCAACGCCCCGACGCGGATTAACATCCTTCGCCCAAGCGGGACGGAATCCCTCCGCATTCTGGAACCGCGGCGCAGATATGGTAAACCCTTTCATGATGGAAAAACGACTAGCGCTTTGCACTTGTGTTCGGGATACCGGTCTGGCTGACATTGCCTCATCGGCTTTGAATGCAGGATTTTCGTATTCGCCCTTCTCCATGTCCTTGGACTTGTGACCTTGAATTTTCTCCTCTGGTGTGAACCAAGATACAGAAGAAATCGGAGAAGCCCAGACAGCTGGATGGGAGCCTACATGGACCACTGTGATGCCAACCAGGGCAAAAAAGTAGAATAGTACTATCGACCAGTCAGATGGAATTAGGGACAAAATGATCAATCACATACGTATAGAGCTTGAGATCCAGACAATGACAACAACAAGTGACGAAGAGGCGCATGCGCTTAAACTAGCTGTATGACCAGACTCAATTACGCCAACGAGCATCGATGAAGAAGCAGCTCACTCTCGGGGACACAGGCTGCGGTAGGACCAGAAATCGTGATGTCTATAGCAGAAGCTAAGGTCACAGAACTTAGTGAAGATGCAACAGGGATTATGAAACGTAAACATACCAACTTGCAAAAATCCAAAAGCACCAATCCAAACACATTCAGGCATAACTTTCATATTCCACAGCGAGGGAGAGTATGCTTCTGCCAAACATCTACAAATACAATACATAAGTGGACCAAAGGTGGAGCAGGAAATACACGTACATGCCGGCATACAAAATAAAGCAGCAAGCATTGAAGACGACAAAGGCGGACGCGCCATTCACTGCGCGAAGTTAGTCTCCAGTCAACGAGAGGAACTGCCACATACCGCCTATTCCAGCACTTTTCAGCGCAGCAATATTCCAGGCTGCAAAGCCCATCGCCAGGATGTTCAAATAAAGAAGGAAGGCTATGTGGATTTATCGTCCTGAGCCTTTCAAACCTTGGAATTGATGAGGAAACATACCGTGGAGGACATATCGCAAGATAACGAGTGGATTGCGCATTTTAAAAGCGGTGGTTGGGTTTATTACGGGACGCTCTACCGGTAGCACGGATTAAATAGCAATGTAGGTCGTTGCGCCAAAGCTAAAGGTGATCCGGGACGTCAGGAGAGCCACAAACGTAGAAAGAAATAGAGTGTTGATGGAGATGTTGTTCGACGTCGAAATGTAAGCAGGCAAAGACCGCCTGGGCCACGAGTGGCCGTCGAGTGGGTGGGCATGTTTATATAGAGACGTCTACCGAGGAACAACAATAGCGGGAAAACAATGGCTTGTGTTTCAAGCGCCCAAGAGCTCGGCACATTCCTGACAACGTCCGCTGTGGCTTGTTTGTGGCACACAAGCCACACTTTCCGAGTCAATGGAAACCAAGTTGTTCAACAAGATGCAATTCAACCACTCGTCTTCCGCTATCGTCGCATGTCGGTTTGCACGGTTACTTGTGGATAATCGCCCCACATTGAAACTTAGCGTGTACAGAGGCTGCTCAACCCTTGAAGCATTTTCTCAAATTAACCGACAAGTACTTGAGATTAAGGTCACTCGGCGCAGCAACAGTTACTTCGTTTATCCACGAAGTGCGACGACCTAGGTCCTACACCCCTGGTAAATTTGTTGCTGATCTTGCGGTCGAGCTGTATCTTGCGTCGTTGAATCCCGCAGGTCGGGCCTGAGGAATCATTGTGCGTCATGAGGTTCTATGCAGGAAACGCACTCGGACTAACATAGGCAAATCCTCGCAAATCGACGCAGAGTCAAACGGGACCGTGACGAAAGGTCAAATGATCCAGGAAATGGCTGATCAGCCAGTACGGCAGCCTCATGGGTTGTACGGGTGACTTTGAATGCTGAAGAACGGCCTGTAAGTATCCTTCTTCGCCCGAGCAACTTGATCATATGCCTTCAGTCGGGCATCCGGACAGAATAATTTACCGTGGACGAGCATCCTCGGTGTTCCGCAGAACTCGTCTTGTTGGGCGTACGCCAAGCACAGGCAACCCTGCGCTCCTCATAAAGTCTGCGCATGGAAGATGAAGTCGCACCCAGTTGTCGTACTCTGGGGAACAACAAATGGCGTCTCGACGTACTCAACGTCTGGTCTCATTTCTCGCACTTCTCACCTCGCTCGCGTTTGCCCAATCTTATCCTGACACGAACGTGGTGATCGTTTCTAACAATGATCTTAATCCGTCCAATGAAAATCGGGCTAGTGCGCTGTACTTGAAGAGTAGCTTTTCCTGTTTGGAGGCGTATGAAGCCTGCGCTCAGCTTCAGGAGACTCTTCTTCCGGCACCGGGCAGCACAGGTCTTACAGCAGCTAACCTGTCTGTAGCTCTCACCTCAGACAAGCATGGTGCAGCTCTGGACATGTCTCAGCAGTTATGGATTGCTGGAAGTAGTAAGTGTACCACGTAGCAATCACATTCGTGCGGATCTGACTGGCTCCACCAAAGCTTTCGGTTCATGTACTGCTTTCACCCCGAGCTACCAATATTCGCAAGCGGCTTTCGAGCCGGACTCTTCAGTAAATCCTGCTGAGCGTCTCCCTGTGCTCTGCACCAACTCCGCACCCCTCACTCGATCCAACGTCACGTCGTACGATACGAGTCGTCAAATTCAACTTTCCACTCCTTCTGCAGGTGTGCTCACTGGGTTTCGTGACAAGTTCAGTTTCCGATTCCTGGGGATACAATATGCCGAATCTACCACGGACGCGGCTAGATTCCAACCTCCTACCGCAGTGGAGGTATCTCCAGGTACTCCGACGTCGGCTCTGGCATACGGCTCAATGTGTGCTCAGGTAGGCTTATTATAGCGAGAACTTACATTATGATACTGAAGGCAATACTACGAAGCCTCCTGATGCAGATAACGGACATCTGTTGCATACAGATGAGGATTGCATGTATTTGAATGTATTCTCTCCTGTTGTCAACTCTGCCACAGTAAGCGATGAGAGCGCGCCGAAGTTGCCGGTGATGTTCTTTAGTCAGTGAATTTTCGTCACGCCTGCTTTTCAGTGGACTAATTTTTTGTCTGTTGAATTAACCAGTTCATGGAGGAGGCTTGAATACTGGCGACAGCGGCCCATTCCCCTACAACATGACCACAAGTGGTTTTGTCGGAAATTCCATCTCAAACATCTATGATGGTACCAATCTGGTCTCTTACGGCGGAGTTGTTCTTGTCACGATAAACTATCGTTTGACGGCGTTTGGTTGGTTCAATGCGTCCAATGCTGCTCTAAAGGACGCATTGCTCGCTTTGCATTGGGTCCAGGATAACATAGAGGCTTTCGGAGGTGATGTGAGTACAGTGGAAGTCGGCAATTTTACTCTACGCTGACTTGTTATATAGCCAACCAAAGTCCTCATTTTCGGCGAGTCAGCAGGAGGGACAATGACAAGATACTTACTCGGCACTAATCCTAAATACACAGACGGTCTCTTCAGTGAGTCACTCGCTTTAAGTGAGTAGGAAATGTGTTGTGACACCGCGTACATAGGCGCTGCCGTGCTGGAATCCGACTTTGGGATCAACGACATATTTCTCTCTCCAGAATTGGCCTTGAATAACTCACTTACACTTGCGAAGTACCTCGGTTGTGCCGAAAATTCCTCCACCACATTTACCGACTCGATGGCCTACTGTGTTCAGGGCCTCTCGGCTGGAGACATTGCAATGGCATCATACAACCTGGGGATCTCATGGAACATCGCTATTGACGGCGATTATGTCCTCAACGACATTGCTTCCAGCATCAAAGATGGTTTGTATGCTCGAGTTCCAACAATATGGTCGAGCAACGAGTGCGAATATTGCTATTTCCTACCAACTACGATTCTGCCCAACTCCTCGGCTTCTATCTTCCCTGAAAGCCTACCCCTATTCTTCAATACTACGCAGGCGGACCGGATTCTCAACGTAACGGACCTGTATCCGTACGAGACTGCGCCATCCGAAGACGGGATCTCGGGTGCTGTGCTCACGTTGGCTCAGCTGATCACCGATTATGACGTCCACTGCCCCATGGTCTACCTCTCGTCGCTCGAGACCAACACCACCAACCCCGGTAATTCCTACAAGGTTGTCTTCGCTGTGGGCCTCGGCTCGCCGCTCACTCCCAATCCCGCGACGTGCCCGGGCCAGGTCTGTCACGCTGACGAACTCTACTGGGTCTTCGCGACAGCAGAAACAGACAATCTGTACCAGCCGCTGACGGAGGGCCAGGTTATCACAACACGCGAGGTCATCAACCGTTGGACATCACTTGCGTGGGATGGAAATCCGAACTATGAAGGTGCGGTGGTGGAATGGCCGCCGTACACAGGTGACAACGAGATGGTCATCAATGCGACGGCGGCCGAGTCTCTCCAGCCATACCGAGTAGCACAGTGCGACTTCATCCAGAGCCAGATAGGTTTGGTCTTTGGGGAGGAGTGAGGCGCTTTTTGAGTGTGGACAACGTCACAAGCTTAAGGAGAGATGTGCTACTCACGGCTCGATTGATCACAAAATATTCACTTGAAATTCACAAATGATTTTGTTAGGTTGGAAACGATGAGAAAACTCTCCTGCAGCACAAATTAATTTCACAGTAGGTGGGGGTTATCTCCGCACCTCATTCAGATAACGAGTGTTGGATTCGTATGGTGTTATAAATTAAAGTAATGTAAGCATACAACAATGATGCCTAGTGTATAAGCGCATTCCTAACTAAAGCGATACACAGGCCATAAAGTACGTATGCGGGCTGCTCAGCAACCCTAACGACTGACGCAACTGCACTACACTATTGCGATAAGGTACAATTGCGGGCATCATAATGAACGCTGCGCACAACCGCTGCTGTGCTTCTCGACGGCAACATATTATTGCCGTTGACGCTGTTTAGGGTGGCAGAGGGACAGGGTGTTGCCATCCGACAGCTCATCGGTTGTTGATAATCTGAGATAAATCCAATGAGGGGGGCCTGTGCAGCCGGAGGATCCTCGGCTTGCGTATGGATTTGCTCTGCGATACCGACGGCAGAGAGGTAGACGGGACTGCAGCGCCTAACGAGGGAGGGACATCGGAGGTGGCCGCCTGGACAGACGAAGCTGGGACAGCAGACAACTGTAGCTTCCGTGGTGTCCAAGGTGGTCGCTCGGGAACGGGGTTATCCATCGAAGGTCGAGCATGATCCAATGAAGGACGAGCACGATCTATGGAAGGACGGGGATGGTCTAAGGAGGGACGAGCATGATCCAACGAAGGACGTAAACGGTCCAGTGATGGTCGAAGAATGGGAGCTGTCTTTGGGGGTACCTGGAGGGTCGCAGGCACAGTAGAAGCTGGAGTAGGTACAGACTCCATTGGCCCTTGCTTCTCAAGGTCGCGCTCGCGACGGGCTACTAAGCGCTTGGAAAACTCCGTCTGCATGGGACGCCGGACATTCAACGACTTGGGAGCAGCTTGTTTCGGAGACGACGGTTCACTGCCCAGAGCCGATTTGACAGAGAACCAAGAGCAATCGCGTGTGTTGGTCTTCCAAATAAGCGGATCAAGGCGCTGGTGAAGAATAGTGATGACAACGAGTATGCACATGTACAGGATCACTGCACCGTTCGTTAGTCCGAATCAAAGACCGCAGCAGAGTAAGAAGGCGCACGATTGATAGCACCCGCCCACGCAAAAGCAATTGTCAAGTCCACTGATACACAGGGCCCCAGTGTAATCACACCGGCTGCAGAATAAGCGTTAGGACGAAAGAATAGACAAGGTTGCGAAACTAACCTTTATCGAAAGTGACACATTCCATGCTGCTTAACGTAGTGGTGACAGCGCCTGCGGCAGCTGCCCAACATGTGTGAAGATGCGCGAATGACATCACATTAGAATAGTACTCACCTAGGCTGAGAAGTGCAAAAAGCCCAACCCACAGACACTCAAACCAGACTTGTCGAGTCACCGTTTCCTTGCGGAGGAAATCGATCACAAGCCTGTGACAGTGTAAGAAGATGATCAGCGCAGATTGAAACTTGAACTCACATAGAAAGGACAAAAAGCAGGCTAGCAACACCGATAGCAATGAGAACTGCGTCAACATGAATAGCAGCTTTGGAAGATCATGAATAATTTCTCAAATCATGTCGACATGGAAAGCACAACATACGAAGGGCATCGATGTCCATTGCAATAGTCAGATTCCAAGCTGCAACACTGCCCATGACGATACTGCAGATGATCGAGAAGACTGCGAAAGAAGTCACGAAGCTGATCCGCCGCCGAGAGGAGGGGAGGCTTACCGAAAACAAAAAACCGATAGGTCGTAAAGTACGTAGCCGCGTTCATGATGCCAAAGTCGTAATGAATGGAGACCGCTCAACGGTAGAAAGATACACGCAGAGAACCCAGCTCTGAAGTTGGAAACCAGTCCAGGGATGCGTTCAACGACAGGTGTCTAAGGAGGACCACCGAGAGCGCTGAGGGTCGCGAGCGCGAATCTGGGCTATACTTATGGAAACCGCGAGCGGCTCGGCAGATGGCGACGAGGCTGATGCTCGCAGGTTTCAGATCACCGGCTGTTGCACAGCTAAGTATGTACAGTACGACCACCCGACCTAGTCAAAGCGTAGTCCAAGTCAAAGCGGTCCATCATCCTCCATGGGGTCCCACCAGCTACATAATGATAAACAGAGAATCCTGTGTCATAGAGGGCGGCCTTGGACATGTGTTTCCTCTACTTGTAGTTCGTATGCAGGTAGACATTCATCATTCGCCAGTGACCGTCTTTTCTCTTGGCAGACTCTTCAACTGCTGCGGTGTCTCAACCCTCTGCCGGAAATCCCCCCTACTGTCACCCTCCGACACTGCTCTCGTGGGTTTCTGTGACGAAACACTACTCGAGGACATGTAAGTAGCATTCGTCGAAGACTGACGGCGGCGCAGGGCAGCAATATGTTGTTCCATACCTCGCATTTGTCCGAGTGCATCGTGGCCTTGGATGGTCCACACGAGGTTGGTACAGGTCTTGACGCAAGTCATCGCCGTTGCTTCCGTCCTTGTTGTTGCTTGTGTTTCTCCTGCCGTCACTAGTTGCGATGGCTGCAGCACTCAAAACAAATGCCATCGTATTGGTGCTAGGGCCACTGATAGCGCTGCCAGTGACAACCAAATACATTGGAGCAGAAATGCAACCTGGAAGGTTCCCTGCCCGGTGTCAGCGCGGACTGACTAGACGTACTAGAGGGCTGAGATATTGAACGAAGTCGATCATCCATGAACGGCCCCAACACCTAGGAATCGGCTGTATGATTTGTGATACAGACCTTCTCGGCCCCACTTCTGCCTCGATGAGGCCAATGCAGAAGTGCAAAAATCCCAAGGGCCGAAGCCATCACTCCGCCCACCACACCTCCTGCAATCATCTCAGCCGGAACATGCGTGGAAACAAGACTAGCAGACGTTTTGGTCGAGTTTGGAGAAAATGAAGCCAATGTCTTCGTAGCAATGCTGGATGAGCTCATGCTGGACGATGCTGGCGCTGGCTGGGGTTCGTATCTACAAGGACGTGATCAATGTGATCAGCATGGAGCACAGTCGAGGAGCAAAAGTGTGCCTACATATACTCCCCAGAAGAGGACTCGCTTCGCCTTCTAATGTCAGAACGAGTATGTGCCTTGTTTTCCGATGTGGTGTTACTGTAAACAGTATCATTATACTCCATTTGGGTCGAGTTAGTTTGTGGAGAGATGTAAGATCCAGCAGGTTAGCCATCCAGAACAAAACTGATATTCGTGAGGGTAATCATTGCGCCCTGCATATAGTTCGCTTACAGAATTTACCCAGATGACTGTACCTCATGAAGTGGTGAGCATCTTCGGACAAGCCAGGGTTTGTCGAACAACTCGCCGTTGAAAGTGAATGTTATATTACGAGGATGTGTGTCGGTGGGACGCACGGTCCAGTTGTGCCAAGTCTGATCGAAAGTGCTCGAGAGATTCGGGCGTACAAGATAAACAGTACAGGTCGGATCATAATTCCAGCTACAGCCGTAGATGGGCTTCAAACCTGCTGCCAAGTCATCATTCTCGTCGTCGATGGTTCTGTAGTCGGAGCCGATGAAGCGCTCCACCAATAAAGACAAGTGAAAGAGTTCCACAAAAGGTGTTGAGACGTCACCATCCTTGGAATGAAAGAAGAAAAAAACAGAAAGCCTGGAAGAATTTAACACACCAGCGTGAGGGCTGAGGCGCGTACTAGAGCGCGACTTTTAATAGCAAACAGACGGCTATGCTCGTCTGGGATCTTAGACGAAGCGCTGCAGTGTCCCTATCAAATACTTATAGCAATGCACATCAGGCTGCTAACAACCCGTCGCACGCTGACATGGTCTTGAAAGCAATGTTGCCTGTTGGATGGCTGTGAATCGTCAGCCACTAGATCACCATCAGTTAATGACTTAGACATTTTGAGCTGTCTCCGAGCAACAATAGTAGGCTAGCAGGGTAGATCTACTCTTATACGACGTGAGGATACATACGCACTGAACAAAATCATCGATCGGAATATCAGTTCCTGAAAATCCGTGTTATCACAACAGTCTTGGATGGACGGCGCTGCCGGAGGATTATGCTCACTGTCTGAGCTTTGATCCAAAATATTGAAACTCAGAGCTCACCGAAGCGGATGGCAGAATGATCGACCGATGACTCGGAGAAGCTCAGCCCGAGGATAACCAAAGTGCGGCAGAGGCACGAGACGAACCTGGAATCATAATCCGAGGGCGAAACCTCACAGACGAGCCCGAAAGCAGTCAGGGCGCGGAGGGCACCGCTGTGGTATCACAGCAAATGTACAGCATAAGAACAGGATCCGGAGGGGTCTAGAGAACTGCAGTCCAACACAGTGAGGTGCCCAGTCGAGCCCAGCGCCGAAGACAGCTCTGACCGAACAGACCGAAACCATATGCTAATTGGCGGAGCGAATCGTTCAAAATGGGATGGACTCTCCTTCGATGTGACCGAGTGCAGAGGGGCGTCTTTGGCACCCAGTAGAGGTAAAGCGTTCCAGAAGTGCAGTCAAGCTGGGACCTCGGTACAGCTGGGCGGTTTGGAACAAGCAGTCTCGGAAATCCCAGCGATCGGCATTTGTATTTGCATCATGCAAGTAACATAGACGCCCACAGGCTATACAATAACCACTTATGACTTGCTTACAGCTACTTACTACGCTTCGGGCATGGGACTAGTACTCCCCGGCTTGCGCATGTGGAATCACTCCTTCTGCTACTTATAGGACAGTCATCGCGACATCGTCTGTCTTTCCCTCACTACCCTTCGTAGAGGACATGGCCCCACATTCTCGGGTTCGCCTCCTGCTCATATGCTGTTCAATCGCCGCCAATGGGTGAGTGAAGCCCACTTACATGGCGCCGCACGCTGATATCTCTCAGAATTTGCGCCGGTGGAATTTATACCTTCCCGCTCATTAGTCCTGCTCTGGCGGAGCACATGAAGCTTACGCAGCCGCAAATCAGCACCATCATGCTCGCGTGAGTCCGTATACTGGTCCTGGTGATACTGTCCTCTCATGATAGCATAAAACAGTGCAATGGTCGGCCAGTACGCTACTGCTGTTCCTGTTGGGAAGGTTCTTGACACGTATGGGCCTTGGAGCTGTTCGTCTCTGGCCTCTATCATGTTCTCGGTGGGATACGGCCTATTTGCATGGCAATATTCAAGAACCAAGGAAGATATCACGTTGACACAGCCGTCTTCGACTGCACTCCCAGTTCTCATTCTGTGTTTCAGTTTTCTTGGTATAGGAACAGTGTTTTCGTGAGTACACCCCCAACATAAGACATGTCAGCTCACTGACGGACCTGCGTCTAGCTATTTCTCAATGCTGTTTTCAGCTACAAGGACATTCGAACATTGCATGGGATTCGCGTCTGGTACCAGTCTCGCGATATTCGGCATGTCACCCCTGTTTTTGTCTTTGGTCGCCACGAAGTACTTCGCTGATTCCGATGCCGGGGTTAAAGTGGTCCCTTTCTTTGTTTTTATGTCAATTCTGACGGGGACCGTTAATTTCTTTGGCGGGCTTATCCTTCCCGGTCCGCCTAAGGAGGGCATACCCACCGAGATAACTTCCGATGAGCATCTTGTTGGATTTGACGAAGTCAGATACATGGATGCGGATGAAACCCGCTCTCTGCTCCACGGCCCACCTTCCGGAAAATCCGTCGCCGGCGCGGCTATAATCCCTGTCCAAGAGCCGAAGCGCTTGTCATCTGCAGGTCTTCTAGGGGACCCGAGCTTCTGGATTTTGGCATCTGCAGTGTCATTACTCGTGGGCGCGGTGCGTGTCTGCATTGAACTATATTCTCTAGGCACTAAAACCATTACTAGGCTGAGATGATCAAGTCTAACATTGGATTAATTGTTCTTTCATTGCCTGCGACGTCCTCCGCCCAGAACATCTCTGTCCAAGTACAGCTGATCGCTGTATGCGACACGATCACGCGTCTTCTCATAGGACCTCTTGCGGATGTCACATCTCCTGTTGCCCTCTACTCATCTGATGGCGTGTGGTCATTCCCTCGCAAGCCCTATTTCACCCGTGTCTGGTTCTTTGCTAGCGCGGCTGTCCTGTATGTTGCCGCATTTATATGGCCCGTCGTGGGCATTCGATCCCAAGAGGCCTTGTGGCCGTTGAGGTGGGTTTGTACACAGCTCGGAGGCGTACATATGCTGACTCATTTCTACAACTGCAGCATCAGCACCGGAATTGTCAATGGGACTATTTTCACTATGTTGTACGTCATCTACGGTCGCATGTTTAGCACTTGGTTCATCTATTTGTTTTCAGGCCCAGCATTCTATCGTCAATATGGGGGTCCCAAGATCAGGGCCGAAATTTCGGTTTCATATCTTACATGTGCTTCATTGGCACCACAGCCTTTTCGTATCTCTATGCATTCGTTGCAGACAGCCATACACTACGAAACGACGGTGTGTGTCGCGGCGCTCAGTGTTGGCGTCTCACCTTTGTGCTCAGTGCGGGGACTGCTTTGCTGGCAGTTTGTTTCTCTTCTATACTGCTGAGAAGATGGAACTTGAGAGTATAGTTATTGTATGACGAAGGTCATTTTGACATGTGTTATTTCATTCAAAGTACACGCACACAATTGTAATATAGTATTTCGGAGGGCAGTGCAATATCATATACCCGTTGCGTTGAATGCCAATGTCATTAAGACCTCACTCAGACTTGGTTGGTATCTGAGAAAGCTTCCCTTCAGGATACCCGAACCAAGTTCCCGCCAACAGTGCAGCATTCGCTATACACAACATACCAGAGGATACTGAAGTCGACGGAAATACATTCCATGCATACTCGATGACCGCCAGGAGTACGAGTCTGTTAACAGGTATCAAAAATACAACATCAACATGCAAGAGTATACACTTACTTGATGACGACAGGATATGTCGACCTCCATGCCAAGAGAGGCAGTTGGAGAGCGTACCACGAATAGAATTGATAGTGCAGCGATCGAGCAAATAGTATGCCAACCAAGTTGGACGTCATGAGAACGGTTGCCACGACTGATGAAGAGTTCAATGCCCACAACAGTAACGAAAAGCAGAAGAAAGCTTACAATCTGCTGTGACAGGTCTCACCTGCGGTGCCCGGTTTGGATGACTAAATCCTTCGCTAAGTACCACCCACACCCCACCATCACGCCTACACCATTTGCAAAACCCAAACGCGGTGAGAACTGTGAGGTGGCCCAAAAGGAGGCACCCTGCCCAAGAGGAGCTCAGGAACACGTCTTCCCCGACGAATCTCCAGTTGACTGTCCATTTGTAAAGGAACACACGCGAGAACTCATATGACGACTTGAGATACGAGCCTGGTGCATGGAGGAGGAACTCATGGCCCACAACAGCCTGCACCAAGCCAATGCCGACAACATGTAGCAGAGTTAACAACAATCCTTGCCGTTTGAATAAAACCACCAATAGTCCAGGCAGGTATAAAAGCGCGGACATTTTCACTGACAACGCACAGCTATGCCGCAGCACTTTGTATTCAATCCTGAAGAGCATGAAGTTGAATGCTCACCCTAGCAGTAGCGTCCCGAGAACATTTGCGCCATACTGATACGCCAATATTGCAGTGTCAACTGCAACTACCATCCAGCAGTCATTGAAGAGCCTCAGTACAAAGATAGAATGGAGCCTCTTGCTGAGAGGGAGCAACAGCAGCACCCAGTTCGGCACCCCACCTGCCTTGCGGTATATGGCACAGGTGAGAGCGAGGTGCACCATATAGATGAAGCCATATATCTGCTGAGCAGTATGAAGATTATTTCCAAAATTCGTCAAGCCATAGAGGAGCCGATGAACGTATATGTGCCCGGCGGGGTATCTAAAGACGGGCCCGAGATAAGTTGGCATCAAGACGTGACATCCAGTGTTTACGACATACACGATAGGACCAGTTGGGCCGGAAATCAATGCGTAGTCTCGTTCACCTTTCAGGTACAGCTCGAGCTGGTAGATGTATGTCTCCCAGTCAATCTCTGTGTCTGCAGCGAAAGTATAAGTATTAGCCCCCTGCTGGCTCCGGCGACTCACATGGAACGAAGCGAATGATGAGTTGTGTCAATAAGGCATCTCCGAAAATTACTAAAGCTGCAAGAGCCCAGAAATAGGCGGTATCAGTCAACAAGGAGAGCAAAAGCCTTGAGACAATTCGCCATACACGACCGAGTGTCTGTGGCATCGGAGTCACTCGAGGATGTAGGCTAGCGCCCGTCCAAAGTGGCTTAAATTATCAAATCTATTCGAACATTATCCCAGCGATGTGCATAGAGCCGTCATTCGACATTCAGATGAATTGAATCTGGTGTACACAAGCATAGTATACTACCCAAGTCAATTCGTCGATTGACCAACATGAGACGTCACAATATTCTCCCCGTCCCGCAAGCCCTGCAAGAACCATTCCTGGTATTGACCCTCCGTTCCAGGTTTCACGACACTCGGACCCAGTTTTGCGATACTGTCATTGGTATACTGTCCGATAAAGCCTAGTTTGGACATACCATACAATGCAAAGATCTTAGCCGTCAGAAACCCATCCGAGTAACCTCGCGCAATAGATCGTTGGGCTGGAGACATCCCGGTCGCACCATCAATTTGCCGACGTTTGTAGGTTTGTAGGGCAAGCAGGGATTCAGGTTTGTTCCTCCATGATGATCCAGCGGGTCGTTGGTTGCGCAACCAACTTCTACGGTGCATGAGAGCGGGCGTGATGTCCGGGTCCTCACCTTGCTGTATCGGTGACGCTGCGTCATAGGATGGGGTGGAGGAAGCTTGTGAGCTGGCAATTATAGCGGCAGACGGCGCATTCATGTCTCCCATAAGATCAGTAAGATTTGGTAGTTGCGCCGGACTGGTCAACGGGCCTTGGCCGTAAGAGAAAAACGTCGAGGGGAGACTGTTGCCCACTGCTGCTTTGAAACACCACCCGGGGTCATCAGAGCAATCCTCTTTGTCGTAAGCTGCTAACAGCGTTAATACCAGCTTACAGGTTACGCGATGTCACTTACACCAAAATCCCCATCCTGCAGTTGCATTAGTGTATGTGTCTAACTGCGCTATGCAGAAATCTCTGCGTGCCTGATCCGGATTGGATTCACCAGCCAAACTCTGCGGAGTTAGCGCGCACGACCATTCGTCAACGACCAAGTTATTCCGTGCTTGGGACGCCGCAGACCTCAAGGAGTCTGCGATTGAGCCTTGAATGTCGCTCGTATGCTGTGAGGCAGGCTCTGTGTTGTCCGAGGGAGTGAACACGAAGTAAGAATGGTGATCCACTACCGTAAATCCCATTAAATTGGCAACCAAGGTAGTGAATTGGGCAAGGTTAAACGCATCGTGTATATAGAGAGGAAAGGATGCTGTCGCTGGAGACACTTGTCTCATGGAGGAGATGGCATTCATATCTATCAATAACATCAGCTACGTTCCCTTCCAGAACGCGATCCACTCACAAAAGTCGGGGAGTTGTGGAACGTCTTGAGGTTCGTTCAAAAGCTCAATCCCAATGACGTTCGTCACGTTCATGAGCTGTTCCATGAGAAACGTCAGCACTGTAATTGTGAGATTCGTATAGGCAGGGCTGTCGAATAAGCCGGTAATGCCGTCTGAGATACCAGAGTGCGGCTGTCCGTTCTGACTTCCAGGTGCACCATGCAAATCAACAAGAACACCAATCCCGGATTGGCCGGCCCAATTGATTGCACGAGTAAGTCTAGGCCAGGAGTTTTGATAGACGTCAGAAACGTTTTCGAACGGAGTCCCCTGGCAAAAATCGGGGCCTAAGGTCCAGTACCCAATAGGAATTCGGACAGTATTGATGCCGATGCTAGCTAAGTACTCGAAGTCAGACTGGTTTATAAAAGTATCCCAATGGTGCTCCAAGACAGCTCGAGCAGATGTGGTAGAATTCCAGCCAGAAGCAATGTCCAGTTCGGAGAGCTGTTGCCCAGATGCGCAAGCAAACACAGAGGGTGTCATCCAATTCTCGTGAACGAACCTAAAAGAAATCAGTATCATATTATTCGTCTGAAAAAGCAGCACATTGGCCCTTACCATGATCCCAGATTCACTGACTGCTGTTCCCTGTATCGATACACGGTAGCCTTTGCCTGATCAAATGGTGGAAAAGATTGGTTTGCGACCAATGGCGTCGAGTAGAAATTCACGTTGCACGGGCTTGAATCCGTTTGTATGTAGGAAGTTCCTGAAGAATTCGGAGAAGGATACGGCACGTAACCAGGGGACGGTTGAGGATAGCCGTACCCGTCCCTTGCTTTCACGCTCTGGTGGGCTGTAGTAGGTGAATCAGCAAGAGAAGGTACAAATCCCGGTGTCGGTTTTTGAAAGGCTTGTGTTAAGCTCAAGGCTCGTAGCAGCGCAGAAAAAGGTGCAACCGTCCGAACCATGCTGCGACCAGCGTGCGGGGTATCAAACAAAATAAACCTGTGAAGGAGAGGGTCCAGCCACTGGGAAAGACGTAGAATGCCAGGTAAGATATAGGAAGCAACATTTAGCTTGCACGCTTGAAGAGGCTGACACAACCAATGGTCAGAATGTGGACCGACTTACCGATCAGCTCAAGCTTGTAGTGATGTTATGTATATAGTTCCTCAATACATATCAAAGATCTATCGCAAAATACGGCCTGGAAATAGACCGGAAGACCGCTGTCGACAGGCCGCACTAGACCAAGTCATCAGGATTTCAGTCCTGACACTGAACGAAGGCATCTGGCTAGGCGGGTAGTATTTGAGAAGCAGCAGAAACTTCCGAGTATGGCGTTGGCATGATCAGACCGTGCAAGACAAGTCCTGCTGGTGTAACGGTTCTCTGAACGATTCCTCCGAGGCCCGTAATCACATAGTCAGTAGCTGGACTAAAGCTAGCGCTCGCGCGGGGTTTGTGCAAGCGCTTATGTCTCGTTTCTCAAGAGTTCATATATCCGAGTCCCTCTGATGGCATGCACCGTGTTCAGCCATTGCTGGACCATCCTGAGCTGTCCATCATAGAATGCCCAACCTGGCGTGAATATAGGGTTTATGCTCGTCGTCTCGCACACAAGTCCGGCAAATTTTCAACGGCTCTCAATTGGTACTGCATTGACGCGGTCATCTCCATAGTCGTTGCATGGCTGTGGTCTTCAGTTGAGTTGTTCTCTCGCACGGCGGGGTGTCGCTAACACTTGTGCACACTAGCTCAGTCGTGCTGGTATTGTAATTACCATTGCAGCGTTATCGTTGTACGCTTATAATAGGTGTACAGAAGTTCTCTGGGGTGAGTGTTGTCTGCTTCAAAGCCACAGCTACATTCTCATATTGAGGGAACCAGAGTCTGTGGTTGTGCTTCATTCCCTTGGATTACAATTGGAAACTCATAGAGGACTACCTCCGATACCTTTGACGGTTTCACGACGTTTCATACCCACATCCATGCTAGAGGATTTCATCATCAACGAGGGTCTTCACGGGTGGAACATCCGCTATTACATAGCAGCGATAAAACGCTCTCAGCGTGGTACAATCAGCCTTGAAGTTGCATTCGAGGTTAGATTCTTATTCAATGTATCTCTCCCATGCTTAAATCTCATTAGAACATCTTGCCTCAATTTCCCGTATTATTGGAGGTGTATTTAGGCGTACATACGTTATTGCGTAGCGATACCAATGCGCACGAGACTGATGAATAAATATGCGATGACAACGAGCACAGATAGATCATGGCAATGTCATTAAGTGGAACAATCAATCGTGGCAGACTACATGTCAGACATTAGTTAGTATTTTCTTCACTTTCGTATGCACTGAGAAGGTCATTGTATCCTTCGTCGTCGCCATCCGCAGCCGAAATATCGCGGTTGTGACGTGCACGCTCCCCGGACATCTTGCGAGACTTAACAGAGTGCCCGTCGGCGGAAACCTTACGCGCGCGGGGTTCTCGTCCGTCTCCCGGCATCTTGCGAGTAGGGGTTTCGTCGATATCGTTTCCTGATGTCTTGCGAGCACGTCTAGTTGCTCGTTGAGATACTGGCGTAGTGGGGAATACGGTGGTCTCAAATGATAGAGCCCGAGGAGTCGTTGCTGCATCAGGATCGTCGGACCTCTCCGCACTAAGTGTATTTTGGCCCGTACCGCTTTCCGCCCTCGAACTATCCTTTGAACGTGTGTTGACTCGAGGGGGCATACGGCGTATCTTTGAGTGCGGACTACGCGGGGGAGCCTGCGTCCCAGATGAATCCGACGTGTCGCCTCCTACAGACAAGCGAGGAAGCTGATATGCCTTTGGTTGATGTTGCAGCCCACCGGTAGGTTTGTTAGATCCGGATTCATTGATGTCACTAAAATCCATGGACTCAGGTCGAGGCCCCTGCGTATTGACCTTGACGTCGGGAGTAGTCGGTGAGAAAGCATCAGGTGTACGTGGTGGCGGAGGAGAGGGACCTGTTGCAGGCGATTCAGGTTGGCTCTGGTACCCCCGACTTCTGCCATTCTGGCCATCATCGCTGGTAGACATCATAGAAGTGTCCGTGCCCATGCGCCGGTGCACTCTCGGAGGCGGACTTGAAGTCGTTGATGAAGTAGGCGTCACTCGTTTAGAACCCACGGTGATGGGAGAGCGCGCCGAACGAAGAGGAACAATCCTGCTAATTGCTGTCTCTGATTCCAGATCAGCTCTCGCACCAGTTCTCGATCGTATGCGAGGGTCCGAAGGGGAGATTGAAGACACTGAAGACTGAGAGTCTCTACGAATAGGTGACGAGTGCTTCGCTCGTATGCTGTCGGCCCACGCGCGGTCCGAACCACCTGAGATTGGAGTGACCGTCGGTGAGCGTGAATGACCAGAAGTCATTAAGGAAGCGGAATTAAGAAGCAAAGGTCGTGGACCAGATTTGCTCGTAGATTTACTGCTATCCGGCGATTTGAACGACATCGATGACCTGAACCCCGCACTTCCTATGGAGCCAGTGTCGGAGGACGGTGAAATTTCACCATTGCTCGGTGAGAGCGGAGATCGAGAACCGGTGAATACCATGCTATCTCTTGGGGGTCGGAAATAGGCAGGTCGAGCCGGAGGAGAATAAGCATCCGAACGATCTATTGCTGGCAACGACCCCCCTCTTCGCTTATCGTTGACATGTCTGGACTGTGACTCCTCAGTTAGAGAGGCGCGTTTAGTCTCCAAGTCCATCGACGACGGCCGCACAGCCGCAGCCGGTGATAGGAACGTCGATGAAGACCCACTCGAACGCTTGCTCCATGCATCCAAAGCCTTCATGCGCCAGTTCGTACTGACTTTAGCTAATGTTGCGGCCGCATCGGAGTCTTTCAGCTTTTCCGCATAACCCCATAGTGAGGTTCGCGCTGAAGATGAACTGTCTGCTTTTGACTCATCTTCCGATGGCATCTCAGGCAACGGCTTCGCTCGAGGCTCTGGAGAAGGAGCCAAAGGAGTGACAGGAGTGGTAGGAGAGGGCGGAGCTTCCATAGCGGCCTCATTTGAGATCCCTCGCCAAACAGTGTCGGCGAAGCGAGCCGTCAAAGTCGACGTCATGCTTGTTGTCCTCGGTGCTGTAGGCATGTCGTCCTCGGTAGCTGTAGAATCGGGGTCATCGTCATCGTCATCGTCATCTTCATCCTGAGATTCGACGATGGTGGGATGTCCAGCGAAGCCTCTCCATACTGTGTCTCGTAATCGAGCACCTAGGCCACCAGCATTCATTTGTGTAGCAGTTGCTTCAGCCTGCCTCTGGAGAGTGAGGTCATAAGCCGTTTGTAAGACGACGTCGATACCCCCGGCCGCTTCGATAGGACACTGCTGCAGAAAGATCATGCCTTCCGCAAAAGCATCTTCGAGCACTCGAGAACTAAGCGTTGTGGACGGGACCTCCTCTGACCAGACATTTGTCATTTGGGGACCAGGCGTGCCCAGCCTGCGTATTTCAGCAGAGATTACAGCAGAAGTCACTGAGTCGACGTACCTTAGTAATATACGTCTTGTACAGAGAAGCATGCTAGTACAGATATCGATCAGATAGCTCAACTTTGGATTGTCGTCACGTTCCCTCATGGGGCGTGAAAACAGCGCATCCCAAATCGTGAGCAGGGATGGAAGAGGAAGGGTGTGACTCAAGAGGGGAACCAGCCAACGGCTATAGGCACGGTCAGAGAGATTCAGCATGCTAAGAGCCATACTTACAAAGAATAGTGGGGGAGCGCAGGGTCTAGACCTTTAGTTTGCTGTAACAGCTCTCTTTAAGATCATATAAAACGAAGATATAAAACTGGTACTCACCAAATCATCAGCTAGGTCTGCATCGGCCCAACATAATCGCTCACTAAACTTGCGCGCCCAGATATTACCACCGTCTACATCATTCAGATCCGCAAATTCTCCGACAAGTGATTCAAACACCCAGAATGTATCTGCCTCTACATGTGCGGCGTCTTCGGGAGCGACTTCCGCCAGAAGCGTTGAATACAGGGGGACAAGTAGCGACGCGATATGTGGTGATTGATTGGCAGGGTTTAGGCACGAGTGCACGTACAGCAGCCTCAGTAGTGAAGATACATGCCTATGATGTGCGCTCAATGAGCGCGAAGGCAATAGGGTGGTGGATACAGCAGAACGAGTCGATGACAATGAGTCAGATGGGGGCTGTGTCACAGAGCCCGTGCTCTCGGACTGCTCCATATTCTGCTGATTGGAAGCTATCTCGGGTTCGTCTAGACGAATTTCGGGTGTACTTTTGGAATGGTCATCCTCGGTCTCTTTGGAAGATACAGCCACTTCCGCATCAATTTCCCGTATTACGCGAAGCCTTGAATCCAAATTGTTGGCGTGGGGTATTTTGAATTCATCAGCAGCAGTATCATCGAAGGGGCAAAGAGAAGACGCCTCAGGAGCCTCTTGTAGCCCAACCATAAGTTTTGGAGGTACCTGAGAGAGCTCTTTTGAGACGTTCACGAGTGACGCATCTAGAGATCCGAATGGACTTGTCGGTGCTGAAAGTCTAGAAAACGGTTCGAGTAAGCGACGAACAAGGTCCTACGACGATGTCAGAACGGTCGGTATTATAGCGCGACGAGCCAAACCTACATAATAATTTTCCCGATTCTTACGATTTTGTTCATTCCAGCGCATCTTATCCTGTGGCAGTACACCTAATAAAAGCCTTTGAAGCCCGTTAATTCGCACGAGGCTAGACTGATTCAAACTTACTTCCATACGCGCGGTCTGAGCCATGAAGGATGATCAGGCAAACCTGCCGCATGACAAAGGTTAATTAAGTCCAACAGAACATTCAGTCTGACCAACCATGAGAACATAGTATCCGAAGTGAAGTAACATCAATCAACGTGGCAGATGATGGGTCAAGTATCTCAGAGATTGCGTTTAGTCTGAGGAAGACGACTTAGATTCTTGTTAAGCGCAGATCATTCATGCACGTAGACACACACTTCTCATTTGGTTGCAAATCTGGCAGCCACTGTACTCCGTGAGCTTGTGCGATAGTATAGAGATATTGATCTGCCTCTTGCGCCGATGGCGGCCGTGCCAATAACGCGGCCTTGACCTATATCTCATAAACCGGTTAACAAGGCACATTGGACCACGAGCCAAGCAAACTAACCCTCTTTGATATGTGATTATTGATGATCCGTACGAAGTCGGATCCAAGGCGCAAGACGAGGAGTTCTTGTACCACTCGAAGCTCTATAAAATGCGGCCATTAGAAGAGACACCGACAGCCAGCCAGAGCCAGACCTTTCGAGTCGACTTGAGGCGCGGCAGCTACAATACTTGCGCATGCTTCGAGCAAGACAGGAGACAACGCCTGACTGTGGGATCAATCTTCGGTATTCCAAAACCTCCCATGAGCATGTACAAAACAAATGCACCTTCGATCGAACTCGCTTAGGTGCCCAAGAACTACCCCGACGTGCATTTCCAGAGTCTGCAAGAGGTCCTCCAGAATCCCTGCACTCATGAGCTTCCTGGCCTTGACTCGTGCGAGTGCAATATTGCCTCGCTGAAGGAGTATGGCAATGTCTCTACGTGTAACCTGTGATTGAGCATCCATCTTGTCTTGTAGCTGCCCCAGCTTCTGAGCGGTTAGCCGCAGCTGCGACTATGACCAAACGTCAATGCTATGGACAAGAAACAGCTAAACAACTTCATTCGAACCTTCATCCTTGTGGGCTCCCAAACTGCCATTGTGACGCAACGAGGCTAAGTCGGACTACCTAAGGATACAATGTAGCAAGCTGCTAGAGGTGCAGTTTGGCGAAAAGTAGGCGCGCTAGAGTGTTGTTGGGCTTAGCAAAACGCCTTGAGGTTACCGCCCACTTCGCGAAAGTTAGACTGTAGTGGACAAAAAGTGCGCAGACCGAATTCGAGGTAATGGGTCATGAAGAAATCGTGGGGTTCACGTGGCCGTCTGTTGAAAGGCGACAAATCTTGGACATTGCGCGGCTGCATCCCGGAATTTCCCAAGGGCTAGTCAAGTCGCCGCATCGCTACCGCCGCAGACGCTGTTGCTGGCGCAGAGCGGTACAGAGCAAGATATGTGTGATCCGGTAACGAACCGCTGCTATTATTGTTACAGAAAAACTACATTGATTGAACGTCTAAGTACAGCATCCAGAAATTCCTGCTAGTAGAACCATTTTGGTATAGGCTTTGACAGCCTGGCGGAGGAGCGAGTAGTAGAGCGATCTTCCTCTGAAGAAGACTTGTGTTTCGGGCTATTGCTGGTAAACAGCCCCGTTGAGGATTGGGGAGGCAAGGGAGGTGCTGCACCGTCAAAAATGCCCGACGGAATAGAAAGGCTGCCCATCCTTGATTCAGGGTCTGGGGGTGGCGACATCATTGGTAGCTCTGACTGGCGTTTCTCTGGCAGCGTCAACACGCCGGCATGTCGCCAGTTCCGGAAGAGTAAAACAGCCCAACCCACAGCATATACTAGAACTGCGATGCGATCAGACGTTGAGAGTAGACCTCTGATCCTATACTAAACGTACGCAGTGTAGGCGTCACCCAGCTACCTACGAGAATAGACACATTGATTTGTCTGCATGTAGTGGTGGTGGCTGTACAATCAACATAACGCGCATGACGGTCATTATTGATACAACGATAAAGTCGTGCGTCCCTACCTTGGCCAGGACACAAAAACGTCGGACTCCAGAGTGTGAAGATGACAGCAGTTCCTGGCGATGCGCGTCAATCATCGCCATCTTGGCAACTAGTATAATGCTCGGCTCACCAAGCTGAAATAGGAACAGAGAGAATACTTGCACACCATCCAGCCACGATTTGAACGGGACGATGAATCTAAACATAACATTAAAATTGACGCTATGCAGAATTGGAGACCACGCACAGTGCAGGCAAGACAACAGACGTGCACGAGTTGATGAGCACTAACACTAACACTAATTTTCCTGCATGGATTCGCATTCACGTCGGTTCAGTCACAATCTAGTATCTGTACGCACTCTGGGAGCTATCCGACGCGTCCCACCTCACGAATAGCTCGACACATAGCAAGGTTGTGAACACCAGGCTGATGAAGGTGATGAGAACTACATTCGGTTGGTGACTGAAATCTAGCGAATTCGATCAGGAGACCTCACTGAATACTGCGGCCCTGAATTTGAAGAATATAGAGAGCTCGTTCATAGTGGAGAATAGCACGAGAGAGGTCAGCAGTTCTGCCCGCAGGAAAAGACTCCAGGTCAAGATACAGTCAAGTTGCCAGCCAGTGTCTTCCAGAGTCCTGGATCGAAGAGATGAGGGGCTTGTAGGGCTTGCCTTCAGATAAGAGAAAGAGTAAAACCAAGATGCCACACCATTTCCTGCCCGAAAGGGACTGAGGCCCAGATACAAAGGGAGGACAAAAGAGAGGTGCCCGGCGCCGATTTTCCCTTGCACGTGGCATATTAATGTCAATTGATATTTGCACACGCTGGGTTTAGAGTTTGCATCCGCTGTGCCTCCGTGCTATTACTACTTACAGTCGTCGATCAAATTCTAGCTATTGAAGTATGTACAGGCTAGACAATGGCTCGGACATAAGCAACGTTTTGGTGTATCCAATATAGAATCTGACCAAATCGCACTTACTCGGTTCTTACAGGACTCATCATGGCAGATAGGAATTGACATAGGTCAGGATTGGGTTTTGCATGATAATCATGTTGTTCGGACGTTCATCCCTCATAAAAGATTCCCTTGCTCACCGGAATTGCTTGGTCACATTATTTAAACTAGATCCAGGCTCAGTGATTGAAGTTGGAATGATGGAATGTATAAATTCGTGCTGGCGGTTCATGCTGTTCAAATAACAAGGTCTAATAAAAATCCATCAACCACACACGAGAGCTCAGCGCAGAGCGCACGGGAAACAATAATCAATTAAGTGTGTAGATATAGAAATACTGATCAGAGGAATGACGTCTATGGTATACTTATCGGCTACAGGAACATGCAGGTCTGGACGGAGGTCGAGACAGCGCACATATAAATAGGCCAAGATCCGACCACTCATTCGAGGGCGTGCATGTGCTAGAGAGGATCCGTAGCAATAACATTAGCATCATCGATCGCAAGTCATTAAGGCAATGGCATGGACAGCTATGCTCGGGAATCCTGCAGGAAAGTGCTTGGGCGGAAGTATACGCGCCGCCGTTACGACATAGTATCGTTGCAGGAGGTGGGAATGCGTCCATCGTCAGGATGTGTAACTCAGTCCGATGACCAATGCCACTGGGTTGCCCAAACACGCCAGTTACAGCTGCACTGTTAAATTTGGGCTGAACGCGAATGGGAGAGAAGCTCAACGGCTCTCTTGAGTAGACCGTCAACTGGGCGGAGGGCGAGAAAATATGACAGTCGTTTTTGTCGCTTCAAATCCAGCAGGAGGTTGAACGATGTTCCGATTCTTGATAAACTGTGCAAAGGCGCGGACGTCCTGAGAAGTGTCTTGCTCTAGTCGTTCCGCCAGCATACACACTCTAGCTATCATTGATTCATCGCTGGTTTGGTCACCTAACATTCAGGGTCAAGTCAATGTCGACACCCGAATGTTGACTGGCGACTTACCATATATGGCGACCAATAGGCGGGCCACGCGTATCCGCACGTCCACAACTGGATCTGAGACGAGTACCGAGAAAATATCCCAATAGTTATCGTCCAAAAGCACGAATTCCCGGGAATGCGATAAAAGAAGGGCATGCTCGCAATTCACGAACGTCGACCGCTGCCTGTATGAGTCGGAGAACGCCAACCGCCTGATCTCCATCCTAAACCTCACGAGTTCAGGCGAGCATTTCAACGCGGCCACAAACGAGGGCGACTAATATAACGCAATTGAGCGGTCCGTGTTGCATCGAAAGAGAATTAAAACTCTTACCACGATCACCGCAGTCTCCCGGATCGCAGAAACACGGTCTGCAAGCGCTTCCAGGAGCAACGCCTCCAGGACCTCCATTTCTACGTTGCTGACGTCTAGAAACGAGGGGAGGCTCTTGATAACCTCCTGGCGCTCGCGCCAGCCCTTCAGCTTGCCTGACAAGAACTCCTGATGTAGGCCTCTCACAACGTCCGTGCGGTCCGCCTCACCGAGTGCGCTCACGAACACAGCAGCACACTCCACGGCCTTCAGCCGCGTGTCAGTCTCCTCTGAGCGGATGCTCGCCCACCAAACATCAAGCAGATCGACCCTGGAGTGGTCCGGCCCGATGATCTTCGCCATCTCGCCAAGGGATGCCGCTAACGTGCGCCGCACTTTGAAAGAGGGGTCTTTTGTCAGCGTTCTATACAGGGTACGCAGCTCCTGCCACCGGTCGCGACCCAAGGTAAGGGCTACCGCAGGAAAGTTGAACGCACAGACTAGCGGTCGTGCAGGGTCGTCGTATATGTCAAATTCCGATAGAGGCTCCGGCACTGGGTCGATCTGGGGGACGAGCGTCGTGATCGTCGACGGCCTCTTCCGAGCGTCAGCGCGTATTGGGGATGCGCCAGCTTCGCGAATTCCGAGGAACAAGTTGAGAATCTCTTTGGGGGGGCCACCTTCATCGTCTGCAAACGTGTGCATGACTTCGCCGAGAGCCTCCAGCGCAGCAGCGCGCACAGTGGGCGATTCATCTAACGAAAGCGGTAGCATGACATCGAGCGCCAGCGAGCGTCGGCGCGATGGCGAGAGTCTAGCGAGAATTGCCGGGAGCGTAAACAGCACTGATTGGCGGACGTGCCATGTCGGGTCGCGATACAATGCTTCAAACAATGGAAGCTGCCATCCGAAAATTAGCGGATGCGTTTTCAATGATAACCGGCTGCACTCACGAGAGACGAGACGACTAGCTCATCAGGAACGACTTTCGCTAGCGCTCCGAGTGCGAACGCAGCTTCCCTCCGAACCCAATAAACTGGATCTCGACCAACTCTCTCCACTTCTGTAACAAATGCGGACTTTATTTCGTCCCTCAAAGCTCCTAGAAATGGGAGAGCATCGTTAGCCATGAATCCTAACACATTAACTAAAGGACAACGATGCGCAAGAAACTCACGTACCGCTCGCAGTAACGGCCGCCATAAGACTCATACTAGAGAGACGCCCCATGGCTGCCTCTTCGCCAATGTCGTCTTCGTCCTCGCCTGAGTCTTCACTCACAGGAAACAGGTCCGGAAAGTTTTCCAAGCTGGCATCACTTTCAGGAAGGCCTGTGCTGAGCCAGGCTGATACCGAATCGCCTGCTCCCTCCGGGCCCTCATGCGCATTGTACACGAACGGAGCATTCATAATTGCTTGACCATTGGTGCCGCTCAGGTCTAGCCTAAGATCGGGAGATCTTCTCCTCGGGCTTCCCACCACTGTCCCCGCACGACTGTCCATCATGACCGCATCGCTTTCTGTGTTCGCGCCAGGGTCAGGGTCGGCCGCTATACCATTGCTGGGACCAGCGGCTGAACTCGCGAGTACAAGGGCAGCAGGAAGGGTCGCCGCGCCAGGGGGATGCAGCGGCCCTGGCGACTCGAGCGAGGCTGAGGAAGATGATGTCGATGACGTGAGCGACGGAGTGGATGTGAAGGAACTAGACGACGATGACGGCGTGGGTCCAACCTCGCGTGGTGATTGGCCTGCGTCCGAGCGTGTGGCCATCGCCGCCGAGAATGCGGAAGATGTAGGCGAAGGGGCAGATTGTGCGGGCGAGTTTGCTACATTAGACGGCGAGGCGACCGGCTGATTTGTGTATGCCGGTGGCGATATGGGCGGCTGACCCAGTGCAAACGCAGGCGGTGAGTGCGCTTCAGCATACGGGATACGCAATGGTGAGCCCGAGGGCGGCGACGGCCTCGTGTGACCCGATGGCATAGCAGGAAAATAAGAGTCAACCATTCCCCTCGGAGCGGCGAGTGGCGTCGAGCCGGCTGTTGACGAATCCGGCGCGGTCGCTGGTACTGGCGGCGGCGACAGAGGCTCGAGGCTATTAGAGCGGTGATGATCTATGTGATGTTCGTGATGCCCTCCGCCTGAGCTGCGCGGCGTAGAGATCGTAGAGAGCGGGCTTTCGTCAGTTTCCTGCACATCAAGACGACCCATACCAATCACTACTTGTTGAACGATCTCTCGTTCGAAAAGTGCGCGTTCGTGCGGCCCGAGCAGACCCATTTCGTACTGTGGCTCGGGCTCTTCGCCTTCTGCGGGCGGCACAGCGGTGCGTCCTTCTTCACGTTCACTAGCGCGCAGAATACGCCTGAGAATATGTGCGACGGCCTGTCGAGAAGGGCCGCCAACCAATGTGTTTTGGCTCAACAGAAGGGTGCCCAGGATGGGTGTGAATGACTGCACGGATATTGTTGTGTCATCATTTTCCGACGCGGACGCATTTTCCAACAACAAATCGGAGGCAGTGCCTTCGAAGGGAAGTTCGTCGTCGACGAGTCGACAATGCGTGATGAACCACCAGATGATGGGCACGAGCTCTGCCGCCAAGGCTTCCTTGACGGCCTCATCTGCAGATTATTAATGAAGAGAATGATGAAAATTTGACGTACGAAGAGGGCAGGGTGGCGGAGCCATAGAGCCGTTGAGCGGTTGGCGATGTGAAAATAAAAGTCCCGGGTGACATGACATGTAGGCCCATAGCGGAAGTCAGCCGATAGTAGAACAAGGGCAGAAATGTCACGCGACAGGGATGAAGCATAGATAGAAAGCACGATGCTGCGTGAGTACCCCGAATTCTCACCTCACATCAAAACGCACCTTCGTCAAGCGCCAGACCATTGAGGAGCGGAAGAACATACTCTACCGCCTCGGCAGGAGTGATACGGTCTATTTGCTCCCGGCTCACGTATATACCGGCATCGGCCTCGTCCGCGCCCAAGTACCGCGGCAGTGCATGGACGATGAAGACACGGTGAAAGCCTGCGCGACTGCGAGAAAAGAGATAAATTTTCTCGAGTGCGCTGAGCCCGTCAGAGTCAATGTCAGTGAAGTCAATGTTAATCTCCGGAGAGGCCATTGGGAGGTCAGCGCCAAGTGAGTAGGGTGTATCGTTTGGGCCAAAATAAGCGGCAGCCTCTGCTGAGGAAGCAGACGGCGAAATAGAAGTGGGAGGATGAATGGATGGTCTAAGGACAGGCACCTGGGAGTGTGTAAGATGGACATCGCCGGTAACAGGCGGGAGGAGGGGCGGAGAGGGCGTGGAGGTGGAAGCGCTCGCGTTGGGCGGTGGGATGGCTATACGAAGGCTGGAGGAAGAGGTGACGCTGGGGGGCAACATAGTAGCAAAGGGGTCTTCAGAACTGATTGCAGGGGTGGGCGACACGTACGGTAGCCCATGCGACGGCGGATCTGACTCTAGGGCGTAGGCCGTGAGTGGAAGTGTATCGTCCAGAGGAGTATGATAGACGAGGTCTCCGAACGGGTCTGAACGGTGGATAGTAGAAGGCAAAGGCTGGTGTGGGGGAGACACAGGCGCACGAACGATCGGCGCCAAGGGACCCAGAAAGGGCCGAGGCGAAATGATGCCGAGACCGACGACATGAGGGGCATATGAGGTGTTGTTGGATGGGGGCGAGGGCAAGTCTACATACGGGCTGTACACGGACGGATGATCTGACAAGGGAGAGGGAGGCGCATCGGAGACGGGGGAGGAGGTGCAGTCGGGCTTTGGGGAGGACGAGCGAGAGGGCGAGCTGGCGACGCTCTGGAAGGAGGAGTCCGCGGGCATATACAAGCGGGGGAATAAAAAAGACAGAAAAATTCCCATGTACGGGACGGCTGAGCAAGGCATGAGTTGAGCGGTGAGGAGGCGGAGAACAAGGCGAGAGGTGAATAAGACGCACCGAAGAAGGAAAGCGAGGACGAGCGCTGGGTGATGGGAGAAGGCAGGGTGGGGAAGGGCGGGGAATGGGTGGAGTGGAGAAAGGATGTTGGAAGACGAGGAAAGACAAGGGGGCTGGGACGGCCCAGAGAAAGAACAAGGAGGCTATGACGCAAGACTGCGGGAAGAACGAGCAGAACGGAGGGCAGGTGGGGACGAGGGGCGGAGGAGGTGAAGCATATAGAGCAGCAGCAGAGAGCGAGGGGGCAGCGGGGAGGATGGAGGCGGGGACGGGCAGGGGAGCGAGGGCGGGGCGGAGTACGGCGAGGACGAGGCGGGCGGGGGCGGGGAGGAGACCAGAA